TTAACCAGCTTATAGGAATATGAGTTTAATATTTATGATGCAAATAATAAAGTCATGCGGGAGCGCAGCACTCCTCGCCGAACCACTCTAATCATTCCCACTCCTCTTCGTCGCTCCGTACAGAAGGTCGGGACAGATAGGAGGAGGGCGGAGCAGCTGAGCGGCGGCCTCTGCTGCGTTTGCTGCGGCGGAGGTAAAGATAGGTGAGGAGTTCACTCGTCCCCCCAGGCTCGTTGAGCGGCTCCTTCATTCCATCTGAGTCCCTGCTTTGGGTCGGGTCGGTGGTTGGCAGGGTGGAAAAGGGCAGCGCGCTCCTGCCGGGCTCCCTGAAGGATGAAACGAATTCTGTGGAGCTGCTGCTTTCTGGAAGAATGTGCAGATGTAGCCACAGTGGGAGCCGCACTTTGTGGGCTGTGCTGTTGCTCCACTCCCCTCCCAGGAGGATTTTGTTTTGGAAAATCGTGAATTTCCCCGTTTAGTGAGTGAATTAGCAGGTCAGATAAACCCGAAGCATTCCACCAACCCACTTCCCAAACAGACACAGAAGCCTCAAGGCATCCATCATATTTTCCTCTCAATCAACCAGAGCGTCTCTGAAATGAGTTTAGATCAACAGTTCTGACTAATAATGAGAGAGAAAAGCCAAGAAACCTTCTAAAAAATCTCCAGGAGCCAAAACAACATCATCTGTCTGCTTGGAGGAAAGCAAAGTGGTGTGGAAAAGTAATTTTCCTTCAGCACATTTCTTCAGATTTTGTTATTCTAAACAAATGTTAGATATCATGAAAACTGGTCTTTAAAACCACTATATTAGACTCTTAAAACAGGATTTAAACACCTGCACAGACAAAATGGTAACGAAGAAGTTAATCCAGAAGGAAACCTCAGGCTTCTCTGTCTGTAGCGATACTTATGTTGATTATGCTGACAGCTTGGTTTTACCAACAAGAAGCCAGAGCAGACCCAGAAATACCACAGAAGTTCTGGTCCAGAAGTTCTGATCCATATCTGACGACCAGAACTTGCTGCATTACTGCAGGCGAGTCTCTGCACTGCCTCCCATCTCCTTCTCTGTCCTGCAGTTATAGATAGAAATCACACATTATGTCACACCTTAAGTCGTGCATTCAGACTTTCAACTCAAAGTGTTATCAACTTTATGTGAAATTAAATGTTTAAAAATATCTTCCTCCAGATTTTCCCGCCTCGGCTGAGGGCCAGGAGAGACGCGTTGGACGGAAGCTGCTGCAGGAGACGTCCAACAGCAGCCTGGAGGAAGAGGAGATTGATGAAGAGCAGAAGAACTGCACCGCTCCAGGTAAGGCGGGATGAAAGAAAGAGGACACAAGTGTTCTCTGCTTTCCTTTGCTCCAGAATAGAGAGAGGAGGCTAAAATAAGAAAAGCGAAAAGTGGGAAACAAATCATTCTCTCTGTTTCTCCCGTCTTCGGTTCCCCTAATGTGGACTAACCTAGTTTGGACGGTCATATGATTTCCAGCAGGCGGTGAGGCTCATGCTGCTGCCGCTGTGGTTTTCCACAGTCCCCTGCTCATCACTGGGATTATTCTCACCTTCTACTGACTGTCTCCATCTCACCTTCTTCCTCCCTTCATGTTTCCACACTGACGCTGGCGCTGCAGTGACGTATCATCTAACTTTGATGTGTTGCAAAAGGATTTCAGGTGTTCAGGAAACTCAAAGTAGTGTATGGTTCTGAAGTGGAAGGATAATAATAATTCATGATTGAAGACATTTAATTTAAGACTTGCCAAAGTGTCGGATCCGATTCGGACATTCTGATACCGAAAATCAGTAACAATCCCAAAGTCAGCTAAGATGTAGTCAATAGCATGTGGGTGATCACTGACTAACATTGACTCGCTCCATTCGGTATGTTAACCTCAGTTAATATTTCAAAAATTAAATAAAATGCTTAGTTTAGCTCTAAGGCTAACATTAGCATGATGGCTAATCATGCTAATCACTATCATGCAGAGCGACCAGCATGTAGACTTTACCTACAGGATGTGTCTCTGGCATCATCTGGATGTCAACATTTCTACCTGGTTAACACCTTTAGCTCATCCAGGTTGGATGCAGACCATATGAGCACATCATTTTTAATTCTTCCTACAGATTCTCAAATGAATCTACATTTGAACTTTGACTAGACTGTTCTAACACATGAATGTACTTTTATTTAAATCATAACACCAAATGTATTTACAAATCTCTGATCGTTTGCATTTCCTTTTATAAAAATCTCGCTCTCGCTGGAATATTTTGATCAACTCTTCTGACTGATCTGATTGGTTGTGAATAAACAGGAACTATAGGCACTTTGTCGGTTGTTAAGCATTAACAACCCTGTTGTTTAATCCTTAACACAGGGGTCCCCAAGCTACGGCCCGCGGGCCGGATCCGGCCCACCTTCTCATACCAGAGAGCATTCAGTGTTTTTTTTCATGTATTGTATCTTCTGGTTTATAGGTGGATTTTTCTTCAACCACCAGGGGGCTCTTGAGCAGATGTGAAACTTACTTTCCCTCAATGGAATATAGACTAGTCAGTTTCACTCACGGTTTTTTCCATTTGCATTCTGGGTAAAAATCTATGTAAAAGCGCGAATGTGTCGTCGTCGTCGTCGTCGTCGTCGTCGTCGTCCCCCCCCTCGACAGTTTCAAAGACAGAACAGCCCTCCCGCAAACTTCTTTCTCCAAAAACTAAGACTGGCCCCCGACCAGAAAAAGGAACAGCTATGTGGCCCTCGCAGGAAAAAGTTTGGGGACCCCTGCCTTAACAGTTGAGCAGTAATGAGTTACATTTACTCAGTTGCATTGACTAGGGTAACTGTTTGGAGACAAAAATGTTCTCCTCTCCATCCAGTCTGCTGGTTTCAGTGAAGCGATGCTAACTATGTGTTGCAATGTCACATAAAACACCAACAAAACATCCCAGAAGTTTCAGGCTGTGACAAAATGAAAAATAAAACGTTTTAGCGGTGTGAATGCTTTTGTAAAACTAAAACAGGTTTTTGATGTGTGAACTTATAAACACGTATATGAAGGAGAGGATCGGTCACCTCTCTCTCAAGAGTTTGTGTCGCAAAATCATCAACCTCCCGTCTCACTTTCCCAAGGTTACCTGCCTCATCTATAAACGGAGCAGGGGTCAAAGTTCACCCTACCCTTCTCCCTTGCTGATGACGCAGGAGCTGCTCCTTTCCTCCTCTTGCTGCTAAATTTAAAGCGGCCGACCCGGCGGCTTTAACCTGCGCTTCCCTCCTGAGGACAGCGCCGCTCCTGCTCAATAACCTCCATTTGCTCAGAGTCCTGTCCTGCTTTGGTGGGCCGTCCTCTTGGGACGGAGAAACACCTGTTTGGGGGTAATTGTCATCCTTCACCTGATAATTAAGAGAAAGTTAAGGAGATATTTAAAAAGCAATGATTGAAGGAGAAAAAGGTAAAACAAGCATCATAATGTCGACCCTGTGGGTTTGTTTGGTGGGATGTTTTTACTGGGAAGACTGGCAGCTGTCTTAAACGTCGTCCCCTAGTTAATAACTGCTGTCTCAGCAGAACGATGGATTTCAAATTATTTGCAGGCAGCCGGAAACCCTTCACAGATTGATGGACAGCAGTTGCTGCTTCCCTTCAGTCGTCGTCGTCGTTGTTGTCCGTCCCTCTGCTGCCCTAAAGCTGCAAAAAGACTGAAGTCCTGTTTCCATAGAGACACTCACACTGGATCGATACTCCTGATTAGTGTCACCTGACTTCTAGTTTCCATCAAAAATCACACAGAAGTAGCAAGGAGTGACTTTTTTCACCTTAACACACATATATATATATATATATATATATATATATATATATATATATATATATATATATATATATATATATATATACACATATATATACACACACATATGTTTTGTGCATTTTGTACAATTACTGATCTGAGTGGGTTTTTTAAGTAAATGTCCTGTTTTGAATCTGGATCCTCCAGTTAACGATTAATTGATGACTAAAGTAGATAACAATAATTTCATTAGTTATTAATCATGATCAATCATTTCAGTCCTACATAGTTATATAAATTACTCACAGAAAATCTGCCTCCTAGAGCATATCTAAGTTAACTAAAAGAAAATGAGGATTTTGTTTCCTTGGTGCTGATTGGCTGAACCCCAAAGAGTGGCGCTAAGAAGGACTGTAGATGTTAGCTTCTGTTAACAGTTTCCACTGGGTGAATTTATGTTTATTAAAGTATATTTGGTGTTTGAATGATTAAAATGGATATTTTTAGACAGAATTTCAAGTATTTTAGCAATTTGTGAGTGGTGGTGGTCCTAAACACCCACAAATCATTTTTTCATTTCACCTTTCAAATCAAAAAAATATTTTTAAAGTGAACTATTTGAATCCCAGGTGCGTTGTACTTTACTGTTTTTATCTTATCATCCACTGCAGGCCAACTGCTTCTGATCTTGTTTTTATTCTTTACTGACAAAGTGATTGTCTGATCAAACATCTGATCATGTAGGTGCTTCATATGTATTTCCTGAGCGTGCTAGATGATGATGCGAACTCTTCGCTTCCAGCTGATTGTCGCCTGAAATCAGAAACCTGCTGATCGAGAGCTGGGAAGCAGAGGGGAAGGAAGAGCTGCTCGCTAATTTTTCTCCTCTCCAAAACGCCTCCATGAGTTTGATCAGGAGAGCCCCGCTGCTTCTGTTGATTTCAGGCCCTTGTTTATTGCCTTCTCCTCCTCATCACCGCGCCATTTATCAGTCAAGATGGAAAAAAGAACAGTTGTTTCTGGGAATTTGTCTGGGAGTTGCCTTTTTCTGCTAATGAAGTGAAATTCATGAGCTTTTGTTAATGTTAATTAATGAAGAGTTGTTCATTTTAGCACTTCTGAGCCCAGATTTGTCTCAGAGGCATAATGTTTCTCCATCAAAGGATGACAAAAGTGATCTGTAGTTCCCATTAGCTGTAAATATTACTGTAGAGTTTTATACGGCAAAATCCGGCCATTGTAGATAGAAAAAAAAGTTGGACATTTTGCCAAAAAATCTCATTTGAAAAAAAAGGAAATTTCCAAGTCATATTTTTACTAGAAAAAAACTTATTTTGATATTAATCTTAGAAATAAAAAAGGAAATTTCTGAGTTTAAAAAGTTAAAAATCTGCTAGAAAAAAATCAGAAATTTTGAGATTAATATCAGAAATTTTCAAGAACAAAACTTTCTGAGTCACAAAAGTCAGAAATTTTTTACTTTTGTGACTGAAAACATTTCCAAATATCAAAATTAGAGATTAATCCCAAGACATCTCAGAGTTTTTGCCAGAAATGTATTCCCATTTTTCCTCTCTTTAGCAGCCGTGGTAGAACTCCCATGTAAACGCTCGGCGGTGAGCCGGCCTGTGCTTCGGCAGCCCTCCGTTTCCCCTCCTCTTCCTCCTTCCATGTGACTGCTCTCTCCAGGGGTGTTTTCCTCCTCCTCTGTTATTAAAAGCGAGCTGCAGTGACTTAATCGGGGCTTCCCTGTGAGGAATGTGATGTGTGTTGGAGCGCCTGCAGTTTTTGGCTGAAGGTTTTGGAGCAGTATTGATTAATGCGAGGGAGCTGCCGGGTTCTGCAGCGAGTCGCAGAGCGCGTCGGCGTGCTCACCTCGCTTCACGTGGATTTCCTCCCAGCTCTTCCTCACATGTCTGCAGCGAGCGAGTTTGATGAATTAATCAGATCTTAAAAGAAGGACGGGGTCTCACCGTCAGCCCGTCATCAATCAAACCTTAAGCTGGCCCACAGAGCAGTTCGGACCGGCTTCCTCTGAGGAATCGGTGCTTTGGTGTTGCAGTGACATCACTGGGCTGCTGCTACTGATGATGGCAAAGTCCTTTCATATCTGCCAAACGTGCAGCTTGGCAAAGTCATCCTGTTTTGTTATTGCAGGATCAGGAGCTTGGAGCTCAGGGGAACTGGACCAATCCATCACTGCAATTAGCCGAGCCGAGTCAGAACCTTCCCTCTACATCAGCTCCTGCTGGTTCTGGGCTTGTTTTAGCTGCTGTACAAGATTAATCCACGGTGACGTTTTGCCTGTTTCTCACTGCTTTTCTTTTCATTTTCCTCCGGTTTTTCGCTCGGGGGTGTACAGGCAGGCAGGACCAAAGGTTTTTCCTTTAACATGTAGTTGTTTAAATATCTCTGTGGTACAACAAGTTTCAAAGATTTCTGTTGGCAAATATATTAATTTATGAGGAAAAATATTCCATCAGAGACTCACAGAGGAATCAGTGAAGTTATGTCCAG